GCTCAGGTCATAATAAAAATATTGAATAAGATTGGTGCCAAGACCTATGTTTGAGTAACTCCATTAGTAAACGCTTTCCAGTCCAATAATTCACCTTTCAGTACTCCCATTTATCTCCTTTTTCCTTTTAGCCCATTCATTTGACATTTCTAGTGCCTGATCCTCACCTAATTTTACTAATAATTTTCCATGTGGTACTATCTCAGGTCATAATAAAAATATTGAATAAGATTGGTGCCAAGACCTATGTTTGAGTAACTCCATTAGTAAACGCTTTCCAGTCCAATAATTCACCTTTCAGTACTCCCATTTATCTCCTTTTTCCTTTTAGCCCATTCATTTGACATTTCTAGTGCCTGATCCTCACCTAATTTTACTAATAATTTTCCATGTGGTACTATCTCAAATGCTTTACTAAAGTCCAGGTAGATTATTCTGATCTGGTAAACCCATGTTGTGTTGGGTCCCCTTTACCTTCATACATTTAATTATTCTTTCTTTCACAACTTGTTCTAATTGGGAAGGAAAGAATAATTGCATAGTACTGAGGTCAGACTAACAGATCTATAATTGCCCGGGTCACTATTTTCCTCCTTTATAAATATAGGTGCAACATTATTTTTCACCGGGGATAGGTAGATGATTATTCTCCCAAAAAGATTAAAAGCCTTATTATTGGACTAATTATCTCATGTGTCAGTTTTTTAAAGTATTCTGGGCTGGAAATTACCCCTCCCAGTTTGAGTGCATTAAGCTCTTTGAATTTTTCTCCCTCCTCAGCTGTGGTGATTTTCATTTCTAGATGCTAATTTTTATAAGCCATACTGATTTCATGCATATGTTTCATTTTATTTTGTTTACTGAAAATGAATGCAATAATATGTTACCTTATAATTAGCAGACATCTCTACAGTGTATAAGAGAGCAAAAAACAGAATCAGTTTGTAGTACTGCATTCACAGGTAATCAAATGTTAATACTTGACAACAAATTTCTAGTTTGCAAAGTTCCTTGGCCTTGTAAAAATCTAAACAGAAACTTGTTTCTATAATATGGAAGAGTTTTTTAATAAATTTAATTATTTATTAATTGCTGAAAGAGAAATGCCTTTGGATGAGAAATCTCACCAAGAAAGAAGACCAGAAACAGCAAGAAATAACTCCTGTTGGGAAAAAAAACATGTTTCCCCTCCCCTAAAAATAACAAGATATTATTAATTAAACTGATGAATAAAGCAAACCAAATACCTCCCTGTTCAGATTGTCTCAATCTCCTAAAAATATTTTTAAAAAATCACTTCAGCCCCAACTTTGCAAAGATGTATGTGCTATTTAATTTTAAGCATGTAAGTACTGTAATTTTATTTAAGACAGTGGATCTCCTTTTGTGCTTCAAGTTATGTGAGTAATGATTTGCAGGATCTTAAATGAGTCAGAATGGGAGAGAAGGGAAATTAAGTACTTACATTTTCCAAAAATTATTTATTTTGGAGTTTTACAAAAACTATCAACATAAACATGAACACCATAATGTTACTTTTCTCTAGCAAAACAGAAAATCAAAATATACAATGAAAAACTTTAACAAAGCTAAAATCCTTCTTTCTGGAATTGGTGTCACTGATGGGGTATTGTCAGGACCAAAGGCAGAGAGGATTTCAGCAAGACTAAAATATAAACGCTATAACACAGAGCTTGTCAAACTGACTCAGGACACCAAAGTATGTTGCAACCCTATTAGACTTGCAAGAACCCAGGGCTGAAGCCTACACTGTACCTCCACCAGGGCAGCAGTATTGGAGTGCCAATCCCTTTTCTCCCTAATCAGGACAGCAGACTCAGACTCTGCTTCTCTCCAGCCCCCCTCCTCCCCATCTTGTGGTGGTCATTTTGTAATTGTGTTGTCAGAAGGGGGTTCGTTCCGGTGTAGTGAAATTTGAGAAGCTCTGTTATAATGGTGTTTTTAATGGGCCCATGTATTTTATCTCAGTATTCATAGCGATCACATATAACACTTAATCCTGATTTAAACATGTTATATGATATATAAAGTCAGTATAGTTGTCAGTTTTTTCATTTAAGGTATAGCTTAAATTGTATTACTTCTTTGAAACACAGAAATAAGAAAAAAAAGATTCCATTGATGAATGGAGAAGAGGTGGACATGGATCTTTCTGCAATGGAGTAAGTTGGTTTGTTGAAGGCAAAGGGAAATTGTCTCCTCCATGCCTATGAGTTATTCCCTTAATAGTATTAATAATTAATAAGTGCCCTATGCACATGTTAAGGTTTTTGTGATACTGTCTCTCAATTCATAATATTTGTTTTTTTCCTGTCATCTGTCATTTTTATGTTTGCTATTGTTGTTCAATATTTGAGGTATAGTTTCCTAATTGTGGATAGTTTAGGAAATTCTGATAATTGTAAATCGAGTAATAAGGGCTTTCCCTCTCTCCAGAAGTTTTGCCAGGTCTGTAATCTTTTGTACTCCTTGTCACATTTTCTCACAAGTGACTTCATTTTTTCTTCATGTCTCCCCCCATATGCCTAGAGCATCTTTCTTGTCTCTGCATAAGAAACAAGAAGTCCTGTGGCACCTTAAAGACTAACAGATTTACTGGAGCATAAGCTTTCGTGGGCAAAGACCCACTTCGTTAGATGTTTCCTCTTAAAACTTCTTTCTTTTGGTTATTCTTTTATTGCTAGTAACCATTCTGGCTTTAATTTTAGATGTTTTCCAAATTTATATATATGTACAATTGAATAAATATAGACACACTTACATTACAACATGAGATATGCTTATGTTCAGTGTTAATTCTCATCATCTTCCTGTGCCCTCTCCTATCCATTGTTTGTCACTGTCATCATCTTGCTGTGTTACCAACTTTTACATGGTAAGTTTCTTGTAACAGAGGCTTTTTTTTTTTACCTGTGAAGCATCGTATGCAACTACAGTGCTATATAATATTGCATTGGAAAAAAACCTCCCTTTTGGAGGGCACCACTGGAGAATTTAATTTTGGAAATTGAGATGATGGTAAATTAAACCTTTTGACTCTGGGTCACTACTTTAAATCCCATATAGTAGTACTTCTAATCACTTTTAGGTACTAGGGATATCAACATGTAAATGACTACATGATTAACCAATAAGCCTGTATTTATTAACCAATTTATTATGATTAACCAATAATCCTGTCAACTACACACATTTCCCCCCCTGCTGCAAGGGTGAGGGGAGGTGGAATATTGCATTGGAAAAAAAACACTGTGGAGAGGCACCAAATCTGCTTCCCCCCTCCAATCCCCATGCTGCTGCCTCTGATAGAGAGGCAGCAGCACAGAGGGTAAGGGGGGGGCAGGCGGGAGCTGATATGT